ATGGGCACCCCATATTTTCAAGGCTTCATGTTTTTCTTTTACAGACACTTGCAAAGAGACAGATGTTATTTGGCTCAACAAAAAAATACCTGCTGGCAGTTCTACTGCATCAATACTTTCTGACTAAGGTTAATTTGCATACAGTTTAGATACATATTTTGCCTAATTGTATTGTCAGTCATGTGAACTTGACTGAACAGAAAGACCCTGTGCCAATACTATTAAATAGCACTAGTGAATTTGGGTTTACACAATAACTCCTATTTAGTTTCAGAAAAAATAAAAGTCAACTCACACTCTCCCCCAAAGACTAGTATTATGTACTCCCTAAAAGATGTTTCCCTGGAAAAGTCACTATTGATACCTTATACTTAGCAGCCTCCCAGACAAACAAAAGCATACTGTATCAGAAAAAGATCACAGAATGCCAAGTGCAAATATAATTGAGCAAATAATTCTTCAGAAGACCAGTCAGCTTATCAAACACTTAATAGCTATTTTCTTTATGTTCATAATGTAACTTGCACAGAAGATGGCATTTCTTTGTAAGATTGCAGTGCTCTATTTTTAAACTTCCTATCCTGCAAACACACTTTTCTCAAGTCCAAGTTTAAACTTCTTTGCTTGCTTGTGGGTTTCTTTTGTAAGCTTCTGTTTTGACTCCAGAGTGTTTTCACCATGGCCAAGTTCTGCACAATACTCATTCTAGTGCTTTTCACCACTGCTTTATCAATAACAATTCCCAATAACATGACATTTTCCAATTAACAGACTAAATTCTTACTTCTTTCATTGACAAATAAATAAATAAATAAATAAATAATCTAAGAAAAAGTGCAAACCAATTACACATATTTGGGTAGGATTTTTTGAAGAAATGGCTAAAGGACGAAAACACTCAAATCCCACAGACCTAAAGAGATCTAAAGATCTCTTAAAGAAAAGAGCTGAAGCATTTTTCTTTTATTACAGAGCTAAGCTAGGAAAGAAGCTGAAATTCCAAATTGCCGTGGATATGCAAGTCAAAATTAGACATACCAGTTTTCTGTTTATCCTTTGGACATTAATGTACTTACTGAAAAGCGGATAGCTCTCAATTTTTTTCCTAACATACCGGACAAGTTCTAGTACATGAATAATCTTACCAGAACATCAATGGGTTGGTTCACTTCTTGCTAATACAACAGAACAGCTGCTAATAAATAAATTACTGTTAACACAAATCAGAATGTCATCAGCACACAACAGTTTTACTTTATTAACAACCTGCCTCTACACCAGCAGTTCCAGTGTAATGTAAGTGATGTCCCCATTAGAGTGGTGAATTGTGTTTTCATTAATACAGGAAAGAAGCCATCAATGCAAACATTGTTTACTCTGAATCACATTAGGTAATGCTCTTATATTATCTGGGGGCTTTTTTTTTAAAAAAGCCCCCAGGTACTGAGCAAGCTGAGAAGCAGCAGCTTCCAGAGGCATCACCATCGCAGTGTTCCCCCAGTGGCTTATACCATCCCTGTATCAGGAGTTTGGAATCACTTTTAACACTACAGGAAAAAAACACACTATGTTTTCCAGGAATTATCTCTATTTTAAATGCACAGTGTTCCATTTAGGAGACCCCCAAAGAGTACCTACCAATTCTCGTAGGTAAAAGATGACTCATAACAGATGTAGGTACAAAAACCACCCTGAAACTCGCTATAATTTGAGGGTCTGAGTGATCTGAATGTGCTTTTTTTTTTTGATCCTGTCTGGCCTTTTTTATATAAACATGTCAAATATCTGTGCTCAACTCAGCATTCAATGACAGGCATATACTGGCAAACCCCAGAGTCTCTCCGTTACCAGTAATTAACTTCCAGTTCTCATCTCCACCTTAAAGCAATACTCTGCTCCAGACATGCTGCAGTGTATGTCTACCACGCCATACATCTCTCCTCTGTAATCCTCTTCCAGAAGCAATCCCTCACTCCTTGTGTAACTATAGTCCAACTATTTTGTGACTGTGTAATGTGAATACATGGAAGTAACAAAACCAAACAAAAACATGTCTTCAGCTCAGAGCATCTGCACATCCTCTCAGCACATCTAAGTATATACTAGGCTAGGCAACATGTCTCAATCAGCAACCTTAACTTGTGTTTTAAACAGAATTCTTTTGTCAACCCACTTCAGAACATGAAACGATATCTACACTGACAAGAATCTTCTCCCCAAACTGCCACCGCCATTGGCTAAAGAGCATGGTAAGTCAGAAATTTTCTAAGCACAGTGGATGTCAGCCATTTGCATTAGATTTCAATTTTAAGTGTTTGTTGGAGAGGAGAGAGTTTAATTGTTCTCATTAAGAAGTTGAAGAAACTATCTTTGCAGAACTTCTCTGTACAATCCGATGTGTTGTGATCAGAATTCACTGTTGAATCTAAATGTATATATCCTAGGACTTAATCCTAACATACAAAATAAGACTTCTAGGACCAAAGCTTAAGGGGATGCAGATGGTTGCAAAGTTGTTATCAAACCCTTCAATTATCCCACTGCTGATAATTCAGACAGCCACAACCATTATTACAAAACTGCTTTTCAAACTGCCATACAAATTTCAACAGCTCTTAAATTTTCTATAGCACCAGTCTATAGCATTTGCACTTCTTCCATTGTGAAATTTTCTTTTACTATTAGAAGCTAAGTAGCTATATACCTTCCTACTTCTCCATTAGGAAGTGACCGATAAGTCCTGAAGTAATTATCTATTAATCACTAACAAAATCTAATAAAATAAGTATTTTCTCTTTTCCTCAAAATTGATAGAATTTAGAAATTTTTGCAGAAATTTTAAAATGTTCCTGCAAGTGAGTCTTGTGATCTCCTACATCTACATCTCTAGGCAGTCTCTATCAGTTTCTTTCAGAGTAAAAGAAAAGGCCATGTCCATTTGTATCAGGTATAATACTAGGTTCATCATGGAAAATCCTACAGCCTTAAAGAACACAACAGATTTACCTACAAGGCATGTGATAGTGCCTCAATGCCCCAATGCCATCATTAACTTACAAGTCCCACAGTACATACAATGCCATGCCCAATGCATAGGTAATGATTTTTTCCACACACGACTAGGGACTGATGTTTACAGTTTTGCTCAGTTTGAACTATTTGGATCAAACCAATCTTTCCAATTATCAGCCTCCCCTCATTTTTGTTTTTTCACTTATTTAGTATCAGTCAAAACAGTACCATGCTTGTACAGGTCATACTGTTCCAAGAATGAAGTGATGGAAAAAGGCACATCACTACTGATGTTGAAATATATCTGCTAGTTTTACGCTAAGAAGCTTTGGAAGTAATTGTATGTTTCAGAGTGACTACCTCACAATAAATGCATGCAAAGATCTGTTTTACTGTAGTTTCTTAATTTCTGCTTGACTTTGCAACTCTAACATTGCATCTAACAATATATCTTTCATACTTCACAGTGTATGAGATGACACCAATAAGATCAGCTTTCACATCTTACAATGCTAGCACTTAAAAATTCAAAAAACATTTGTATCACTAATAAATATGTTATGCAGAAGATTTAGTATGGTGTAGGCAACTTGTAAACTAATAAATTATACAGCACAATGTACTTCTTTAAAGTTTTATTTTCTGCTGTAGGGTCTGGTGTAAAAGCTAGTTGGAAACAAAGTATATTTCATCAAATTTTCCCTTCTTCCAAGAGAGTAGTTAAAAAAATAATTTCTTGAGATAATTTGAAATGGTTCAAGTAGGCATGTATGCCAACTGGTAATACATTTTTAACTTTATTTTTAAGACCCTCACAATTATGTATTTTTCCTTGTAATACATTATTTGTGATTCTGAGTAGACCACACTATAAATGTACCAATAATCATACAATTGCATAGCCTCCTCACACAATATACGGCAGGTAGGAACAGCCTGGGAAAACAGGGCACTAGAGCTTATCAATGTACAGCTGTCAAGTCTTTTATTCATCTCAACTTTTGGTGGTTTCTGGACAAATTCACTGCGGTGGAAATCCCACTGCAGAAGTAAAGCTTTCAAGGTGAAATAGTTTTTCATTTTCATTATCATGAAAGAAGTGTCTGCAGTACCAGAATGCCACAGCAATAGGTTAAGATTGGCAATTTTGTGACATTTGTAAATTTAAATAGAATAACGTTTATTGCTGTCTCTTCATTTCCTCCTGAACCCCAACTTTCTCCTTTGGTTTCTTTGCAATCTTCCAATAAACAGAAGATATAAAATAAACAAGAAATGTTGCCCTAAAAAGAAGTACTTTTGAGGCATTATTCACAACCTCACTGCCTTCTCTAGAAATGAAAAACTTTTGCTTTGTCTCATGTGCTTTATGAAAAAAGGCAGAAAATGGTGAAATAACCTTATTACTACCTATTAAACATAATCTTCTTTTTACATATCAAAGAACCAAAATGCATCATTGTGTCTAGTGCAAATCAACTCTCCTCTGGAACCCTTTGTCTTTATATCACAAGGCTTCCCAGGATTGCTTTACCAAACGTGAAAAGAAGAAGCTCAGTCTTCACAGTAGTAGTAAAGCAGGGGCTCTAGCTGCCAAAACACTATAACCTTTACATTCCTGATAAACATACCCTGCAACATATGTTTTATGACTGTACCTACTTATTAGGTTTCTGCACTGCTGCAAAGAAACTAAAACAAAACAAACAGCCCCAGTACTGACCAGAATAAACCAGTTAGATTCTACAGAATCTTTCCTAATGCCTCAACAGAGAACTAGCATTAGATATTACATAAAGCTTCCCCAGATTTTGTTGTACTGAAATCATGAACAGAAGATCTATTACAGCTATGGGAAGCACTTGCACTGTTCAGTACATTTTTTTTTAGTACAAACACCAAGCTTCCCAGGAGATGCCTGTATTAGGCTATATTATGAGAGAATACAAAATCAGGCAGAAGAATTATTAAGACATTTGTTTTCTTACCTTATCTCTGAAACAAGAAGAAGGTCTTTTTAAGCTCCAGAAAAAGTTAGGACAGGAGAACTTCTTCTGAAAGAGAAGCGAGTGACTTTTTACAAAACTAAATAAACCAAGTTTTAACCCTTCCTTTTCTTTTATAGCCCAAGAACTGATCATAGTAAAATACTTCCACGGTGAATTTAGTATACTTTACTGTGTTTAGTTTTTATTTAACAAAGTATTTTCTTTTGTTGTTTTGTGTTTAAGCAGATGTACCTTTGCTTTCTGGTCATAAGGAGGTAAGGTTCAGGCAATAGTTTCTGTATGTGTTCTCTGTGTTCATAGCTTTACTGGACCTGTTTTCAAGTATTTGTTTTTCAGCTCATCCTAGTTAATTTGGCCAAACCATACTGGTTCTACCTCTTTTATGGAGAACCAAGACATAAAAAAACATATTTGGGTAAAATTCATGCATCACCACTCATAGTATGTCCATGAATGATTACAAGCATTCACACAAAAACTGCTAAGTCCCAATATTTAAATAGCCTAACATGAAAGCAATTAACACTAAATGTACAGAAAATATAGTACCCTGAGCAACAAATATTTCTACAGGTCCTTCTGCAAAGTACATGTGAGCACAGAAGAAACTACAGAAAGCCCTTGAAAAAGGGGTTTGTGTTATTTGGAAACAACAAGATACAGACATGGAGGGCTAGGGGGAGGTCAATGGGAGGAGAGTCTGGGGAGCCAAATTCAAACCCTCTATTAGTGATCATCAATGAATTTATGAATCATTATGCCAGAACTCCTAACTCAGCCTTACAAGGGATTATATTCAAAACCCAGCTGTTGGTAGCTTCTACTCTCCGCAAGAGGGAATGAGTAAGGTTTGAGGAATGGAGTGAGTTGGGATATGCAGCTAATAAGATGCCTGAAGAATATACTATCAGAGACTGTGATGATCAGTGGCAGTTCATCTCCGGTTTCCTATTTCATTTAGCAGTAAATAGGTGTTTATTTAGCCGTACAGCATCTGGCCTGCAGGATCTGACCAGTGTCCACCAGAAGCCACCCTGGCCATCTGCTCAGTCAGCCAGAAGCATATGGACTTCACAGATAAAGAAAAGCAAGGCTGGGACCCACACGACAACTTGGAAGGCGGCCTGTGACAGAGCTGGTGCTACCTACCGGATCGAGATAAGGCTTCAGGCCACTAGAAACCTCCCCTCTCCTCTGCCAACAGGTAGCCACAGCTGGCATGGCAGAACTGTGACCCTCCTCTCCTGCTTCCTCCCCAGGCATCACAGCAGCTATAGTATCCTTACTACCTCATCTAAATTATAACAAATTATTAAGTACACTTAGCACTCTACTGATTATTTTGCAGAAAGTTTTAGCATTTCCCATAACTTTCTGGGCCACGGTTACATGAAATACCGTTTCACACCACAGCAGCAGGCAGCAGCTCCTGCTCTCCACAGCCACAAGGCCTCTACCTTGTCCCCTTCTCCAGCCAGCAGCCACCTCTCGCCACCATTTCCTTCAGGATAAGGCTGCATTTCAGCCACTGCAGGAACAGACAGGCACAGGCTTGTCTGAGGAAAGCCTTGCTGGGGCCCAGAGTCATCAAATACACCTCACGAGTCACACCTGGGGAGGTGGGGGCTGAGGACTGGAAGGAGTAAAGATTTGATTGGAACCTGCCTATTTAGGTCATTTTACTGAAATTCAGCAGCATGAGTTTTTTTTCTGACTTTAACATGTCCCAATTCATTGTTCCACATTCTCATCATTGGAGAGATTTGGCATCTCCCTGTATGTGAGAGAGGGAAAGACGGCAATTGGTGTAGTTCCGTACCAGCCTGAACACAGGGTCTATGCATAGAAATATCCTCTTCAAAATAGTGCCTCTTCAAATAGCTGGGAACACATTAAGCATTTGAAATACTCACATAAGTGGCAGTGAAAATACTGCCCTGGTGCCCCAGACATTATATTTTTTGGCTGTAATCAATGCTTTATATCATCCAAATGTTTATTCCTGTACAGAAGAGAGGGAGGCTGAAAGAGGAAAAAAAAAAAAAAATGAACCTACATCATTCCCATTTAATACCAAGAGTCCTTGGACATGTGGTAAACATCCTTATGGTAAAGGATTCAGTGAATCATCCTTATGGTAAAGTGAAACATCCTTATGGTAAAGGATTCAGTGAATCATATCTCAAAGAAAAACCAAAAATGATGATGCATGAGAAAAAGTCCTGTAAGAAGGGATCCTATCCTGACTTAAACAAAATCTTGCAACTGTGAAGGTCAATGTATTAAAAAATGGCTGAAGACATCCCAGTGAGTAGACTAGTGCACTGAGGTTGTATAAATATTTTAGAGTCTGCTGATACCATTGACATTGATTAAAACCCTAATCAAGGCCTCAAAATACGGAGAGCAGATAACAGTGTCTTTTCTGCTTGCATTTAGAGCCAAAGCAAGCTGACATCTACCTTGGAATCCGGATGGTTTCATTGCTCATGTTGATCAGGATAAAATCACATCAATCTACAATAAACTGTTCTGTCACCTAAACAAGAGGGAATGTAGCACTTTTTTTTTTTTTTTTTTTTTTTTTAAATACTGCTATTTTGCAGCTTTGCAGCCTGATTAAATAAAAAAAAAAATCAGGCTCATTTTCGAGTGCAGGAGATTCAATCTTTTGCTGTTGCATTTATAGCATACCAGCATACCTTTTAAGGTGATTTTTACTTTATCAATTGGCATTGTCCAAATCTATTTCACAGCATCCCCCCCAAAGGATTAAAATCACAGAGGGAGATAAGCAAAAAAAATAAATAAATAAAAATCAAGTTCATCATGTTTAGAATCACTTCTCGGTATCTGCGCTGTCTCTCTTCCCAACCACCTTTTGCTGATAGGTTGCAATCACAGAATGGCTCTGTAAAGATGCAATGGCAATGAGGTTTGCTCTGAGTGCTGCAATACATGTCTGAAAGATTAATACTTAGATTAAAAGAACCTAGATTGAATTTTCTGATAGAAAATTGTTCATAAGCTCATATATCCCTTATTCTTTGATCCTAGATCAGAATTCTTGCTTACTGGGAAACACTACGTGTGAAGGAGTAAAAGAGAATGGTGGTGCTAAACCTACACCGTGCTGAGACTTTTTGTGGATATGTGGTAGATGACAGCACAAAACAAGCTGGCAGGCTCAGACTTCATCTTAATTTCAGTACCAGTTCACACAACAGCACTCCTCCTTGATCAGTTCATAGGTCTCCATAAATAACAAGTGATTTCATTGCACTGTCCACTAAATATTTTACTTCTGACAGGTCATGTTTCAGGAATGAAAACAGATATGACACAGATCACAAGTAACACGCTCATTCATTTTGACTTACAATTAAAAAATTGTCACCTCGGAGTTATTAAAGGCATCCAAGGAGGCTGAGTTTTTCAGGTCCCCCCTCACCTTCCCTAGCAGAGGCATGCACTAGAACAATCTTTTGATCACATATTTATGGATTACTACAGTCTAGTGGGTAGAGAGGAAGCTGGCAATGAGGCTTCCTGAATTTTACTTTTAAGCTCAGCCATTGATCTCTCTGTTGCTTTTGGCAAGTCACTTCTTGCGTTAGAGTTGATCTAAGCATAAAATACTGTAAATACTGTAGGTGCACTGAAGGCTCTTTAATCTCTGTAAATTATTTTGCAGGATTTAGGCAAAACAGATGCCTGAACACCACTGTGATGGGAGAGAGATAAAATCCCAACTCAACTAGAAAACCTAGTACAGTGTTTATTGAGGTTTCAAGGGTCAGTCTCGAAACAATCATTTTTCAATTATCGTTTGTGTACTACTTGCATCTCCCTGATTTTTTTCATTAAAATGTTTCCTTCAGTCACTGACAAAGTGACAGATTCTGTTAAGTGCTAATAGTAAGGGCAGCTGAGTTTTTTTCTTTTCTTTTTTGTCTCATGCCTGATTTTCCATCAACTTCAATCTTGAATAGCCCTTTTACGTTATGATTTTACATTCACTTTGAACAGACATAAATGAGAATGTGGTTTAGGGTTGTGAAGAAGTAAGCTTTTGATGCAGAAATTTGAATAGTTCTGCAACTGTTATTTAGCTTTCATTTTAGTATCCTGAGATGGGATGATAGGAGACATCCTATCTCCAGCATCCCATAATTGCTACAAATATGCAGGCAGGTGGCTATTTTCAGCTGGTCATTTCTGTGCTGCTTATATGCAACAGCAGTAAAAAAAAGAAGAGATTAAGCTATACATCAGCCTCAGAAGGATGCTCCATGCTTGAGAGACAACAAAAAGAAGCCTTCAATGCACTTAATGAAACACAGACATCACTCCAAGTATCAGTAGAATACACAAGGACAGACAAAAGAAGGCAGTACGCTGAAGAGCTCTGAAATGAGGAAAGAAACCTTGGATTTGGTGTCCAAAAACAGAATAAAAAGATATTAAAGTGATGCAGGGTGACATAAAACACAGAAAGTAACGAAAACAGAGGGACAACATGGCTAGATTACAGTAATGTAAACTCCTAAGAGACAACAGATACATTTTTAAGCAAGACGTAAATGCTGAGAAGCAAAGATGATAACATTGTGAAATAATCAGGGAGGGGAAAAAATGAGAAGTGTACAACTAAAAAAACTAAAGCTTTTTTTTTTTTTTTTTTTTTTTTTTCGTGTGATACTTCTTTATATCACTCTAATCTTTCATATCCTTACACCCACAGCATTTGGCTGGAGTCTCTCAGCATTATGCCCTTTTTCGGTCCCATGCTCTTAAATGTTACATCCACAGATACAATTGAGGCTCCATCTATGATGTCTTCTTCTTTTCTATATTCCAGAGGTAACTTTGTTCGGACTAAGAGAGTGAGCTGTATTTGAGACATCTTCTCCTGGAAGAGGCCATAACTAGGAGAGAGCTCTTGAACACCCTTATTCCTAAGATCCTCCCTTATTTCTCCCATAAAACAAACCACAAAGGTATCTATAATCTCAGCATCCCTATCCTGTCCACTCCTTTGGGACACAGTTTCTTTTCTAATACCAAATCTCTCTACTATCTCCTATGCAGAGTATGCCAAACCCTTGCAGAACTTTTCTGCGTGACACACAGAATATATTATTATGCAACCTTTCCCACTAATTTCTGAAAACATCTTTTTCCTGACAGATTTTCGTACATGCCATTTCTTTAGGCACTTCCTCCTCCTCTGTTGCCTCAAACATGAACTGCTTATCTTCGTGTTCAAAGCTCTTCTTAGCCTGTGTCTATCTTACTTTGTTCTCACTGAGTATTAAGGAGGTCAATCCCTGCCTCAGGTTAGCCCAAGACCTCACCATCTTTCATCTGTTTGTTACATTTTAAACAAGCACTTTTTTCCCTACTGCTCTCACACTGGGAAGAAGTCCCATACATATCCACCATGTTATTCCATTATACATCTTCAAACACCTCTCTAAACCACACTGATGCTCACAAAATTCTTAAAGTATAAGCTACTTGTTTTGTAAGACCACAGTCAGCTAATACCGATTTGTATACTCCTGTATGTTTAAATCTCTTATATCTTCTCACAGAGAGCTTGTAGAGTTGCTTTTTGATCTGTGTTCATACTGTGCTTGGCATATATACATGAATTTCCAGATGATAATGCCATGTCCACAGTTCCTACATTCCTTATTGTTAAAAATATAAATGTTACATTACTAAATCAGTATGGCATAAAAAGGCCTATAATAGGTAGAATGAGGTCCTTATCCATGGAGCGAAGATGTAAATCCTGGACCTTCATCATCTGGATTTTTACAACAGCTCTCTTCTTGTCAGATTGCGCAAGTATTTAAAAAACAAAACAAAACAAAACAAAAAACAAACAAACTATACCTGAGTTTATGAGGAAGCAGATGCTTCCACAAAACAGATGCTGATTTATAGACTGACACACTGAAAGCTTCTTGGAATTACCCATATACAACTAGACTAACATCCATGGCTAAAAGAAAAAGAGTACTGCACTTCCTTGCAATTCTGGTCTCTTGCATTTTTATAAACCTTTCTCTTTCTTTTTATCAAACAGGAAAGGTGAAGAAACCTATATCCTAATTTGGAGCAGCAAGTTTGTTTGGAGGATTATGTGCTTTTTTGTTGTTGTTTTAATATTAACAGTATATAGGGTTTTTCATTACGATCAAGATTTAGTCTAAATGAATCAACAAAATACTGAAGCTTCCAGTACTTCAGAAGTGCTCAGCAGAATACAGATTCACTCATTTACCAGATTTTGACATACGTTTGATACCTCAAAGTCATATTTTAAAATAAGCGATAATTCTGGAAAAGCTCAGCATTCTAAGTGAAATCATTATTCTGCAGACTGAACCTAATGCTGAGGTAATGTCGAGTCTGACCTTTCCAAATAAATCTCTCTTAATAAATGTTCCTTTCTACTCTCTGGAACAACAGAAGCCTGTAAGGCAGCAACAGACTAGGAAGGAGGGCAAGATGCAATAGTGAAGCAAGAGGCAACGTGATTTAAAGGTGAAAGGATCTGGACATGACCCTAC